CATAACCCCTTATTTTTTATAATCATTGTTTATATATGTTATGTGCATTTACGTTATAGAAATTTTATGAAAACCATTTGTATAAATATAACTGTCCTATAAGTCATACTAGTACAGGTTCGAGTAGCTGCTATGCTTAGGTTTTCGATAGCGTGAGTAACCTGCCGTTACTCACAAAAGGTGATTATTATTACTCTCATAATAAAATGATGAAAAAAAAATGAAGATAGTGCAGGGATATGGTATGGGTATTGATGGGTATAACAGGTTGTGTCCCGTAGCCAACGGGGCTTAGTTTGGTTACACTGCTTTTTCCTGTTCGAGTCGATTAAGGACCGTCCGTTGCTGTGGATGGTAATCAGGTCACAGACTTATAATCCTGAGCACATACTTGCTTATGGGAGCGGGAAGGCTCATTACGCTCTTATCATGGGTTCTGGCTCTTTCCGGACCGACTGATTGGAGGCAGGGAAAGATGGAGGTCTAAGCATCATATTGAGACCGGGTCTCAAGTGTGGGGGCTTGGAGTCCAAGTTTGGACGGAGACCTGGACTCCGTGACAGGAGTGAAATGGGTTGGTCTTGTTTGTGCCTGGGGTACAAACGGGGCGTGTGTTTTGAGGTATCCAGCTGGGATACATTAGTTCGCGAATTGCCGTTTCTATGAGATGGTACGACTTGGCTATGGTCTAGCACCGTAGTAAGAACTGAAAGATGAAAGATACTGAAATGGTTCTGATGGCTCAACCCTTGCTTGAAAATAGAACATGTGCTTACCTAGAATGGTTAGCTAATGAAGTAATCATGACTGCTAATAAACTTGACTATAAGGATGAATTATTAGTAACGCTTTTCGCAAACAAAAGAAAACAGCAAACCCATATTGCCTATCATACTCCTTGGAGTCAGAAAACTATTCCCACTAATCGGGTAAGTCTTGCGAGTACATTGTGTACTCAGGGTTTATTTTACCCTTGTTGCAGGTGCAGCTTAAGGAGTAGCTCTTGTGTGGAGGATTCTTCTGGTGGGCACAGACGGATCCTTGTATCGATTCCGCTAGATGTTTATTTTCATTCCGCTGCTTAATTATCGCACTCTGAACTCTGGTATTGTAATAAATGATTTCCAAGAACTCTGGTCGTATGAAATGGACTAAGTATGATTTCCAAGAACTCTGGTTGTATGAAATGGACTAAGTATTGTCAGTTCATTCTCATTATTGGATTCTGAATGTAAAACGTGGATTGTTTCGAGTTCTCCCTTAGGGTGTGCTCGACGGAACTGTCCGATATAGCTCCCTTTCGAGGTGCTTAGTGTCTAGTGAAAGACGAGAGCTTCCGAAAGCGTATTATTTCGGGCGGTTCTGCCACAGCTATAGCCCTCGAGCGATCCTGGAGGATCTGTTGGCCGATAGCCTTTTTCCCGGGGACTTGGCATGCCCCTATATTTTACTCTCGTCACTCTTCCTCCTCTGAAGGTTGGTGTCTGCTACTCTGCTATAGTGTTGTAACTGTTGTCTCCTAGTCTCGTTTGAAGAAAGTGAAGATGTTATCTTTTTTTTTTTTGAAAGTGAAGATGAAGATCCTCCTTGCTTTCTTTGCCTCTTCCATTTGCCTATTTATGATCCTGTTTACATATATTTAAACTATACATACATGGCTGATCACTACTCACTATATATACATGGCTGACCAGTCATCTAGGCACATGAACGACTAAATGTTCGACTGGCCGGCTAGGACTGAATAATCGACCCCGATTGACGACTAATTATGATTATTCGTCTAATCGGTGGCCTTGCGACTAGCTTCGACACTTCCTTCATACATCAGTTTATAGTTAGGTGTGCGATCAAGCCTTTTGGCAAGACTCGGAATGGAGATGCAGGTTGAAACATGATCCAACACTATGCAGAAAAGGAGATGATCGGGAATACCCAAACTGAAATTTCAGGTAGTGATATTTCGGGACTAAATTCAGGTAGCGTTTTCCATTACCCAAATTTCTTACTACCCAAATTACCCGACCCAAAAAATTGGTAACCCAACGCATGAGGGCCAGATGACATTGTAGATATAATTTTCAGCCATGTAGACATCAGTTGATCTCAAGTCTGATTATATATAAAAAAACTCGACCGGGGGTTAAGACTGCCCCCGCAGCATTTCAAATAAGAAGGATCTTCTCACCCGGCCGAGAAAACCCCCGAACCCCCGCCCCCACCCTTACACGGTGGCTTTCCGTCGTCCAAGTGAGAATTGGGCCGATACCCCCCGTGCTTTGGTTATAGGAACGGACGAGGGGATTTTTTTTAACCTCAGCCTGAAATTCGCTCCCACAAGGAGTCGACAGTGCTTTGGTTATAGGAACGGACGAGGGGATTTTTTTTAACCTCAGCCTGAAATTCGCTCCCACAAGGAGTCGAACTCAGGACCTGAGGGTGCCGCAGGAAGCGCTTGACCAACTGGCCTAGCGTCCGTCGGCTCAAGTCTGATTATATAATTTTGCTCTTTCAGTAGTTCCTCTGATTCAGACAGAATGAACCAAAACAACAAAGTAGCAAAAGCTTAAGAAAACCATGAACATAACAAGGACTGCAGCACAGGTTTGCCATGAGTTGACGACTATGATGATATAGAATTGAAAGGTGGAGAAGCAGGATGGTAGTGAACTGCTCCTCACAGCAATAGGCTGCTTTTTATAGAGTTTATGGAATAAACAGCTATACCCACCTTATGCATATTTATGGATATTTTGCAACTAGAGCAGTCGACTATCCGTGGCGTATGCATCTCCAGTGTAGGAAATCCCATTCAACTCTTATATGTGCGTATCATCTGCAATTGGAAAGTGAAGTTTTGATGAATAGACTAAAACAAGTTCAAATATGGGTTAAGTTCACTGCATGAATATATTGATTAATAATTATGGCCCAGATTCTGAGCAGCATCTAACCTGTCATGGCAGTGATTAATGAAAGTCTATGTCCTAACTACATAGTGTACATAACATGGTAATAGTCACTGCCTTGCACAAAAGAAAAGCTCTTTTTTTTTTCTTTTTCTTTTGGAGGAGAATGCACAGAAGACATGTTAGCACACTAGACCTGATTCATGATTACTAATTATGGTCAGTTGGGCACAATAATACTTCTAAGTCCTAACTACATTGTACTGTGACTCTGTTGCATACGGATAAACGAGAGACTGACAAAGCTGTACCTGCTTCAAATCACCGAATGTCAGTCTGTCATAATCAATTTGTCACCTGTAGTCAGGTGTTTCTCCCCTGTTCCACAAATGGATAGATGACCAAATTGTTCATACACTAAACCTGAGAAAAATAATAAAAATGACATAGAAATACATTTTGTTAGTCTGTGAGATGGAATAAAGATTAACGAGACCAAAGCATTGCCAAAGGAGAAACATAGGGCCAGAACTAATGCAAACAAGAAGCTCAATATATTAGATGTCGAACATATTCTACAATCAACGTACAATAGACTAACAAACAGCTAGTATACAGATTTGCAGCAGTAAACCTTTTGTTCTCTTTTTTTTACGATCAACTGAGAAAAAGAATTTCCCACTTGAATTAATTGCACTGGAGGGACGTTAAACACTGCCACCCAAAGGGATTACAAGAGAAGTTTTGAAGAAGCAGTAAACCTTTCCCATTCGTCACCAGTAGCTCAATGTCAATGAAATGGAAGTTAGGTGGTAAAGGATCATTGCAAACATAGAGAGGCCATAAAGTGTCCATCTTTGTGCAAAAACAATCACAACTGTAAGCTTATACTTTAAACGAGAACTGTAAGCTTCATATCATGCATCATCATGCAGATGTTATCTATCCCCCTGATCCCCAAATTACAAAAACACAACAATTAATCCTGAATCTGGTTGCCACTTTTACCTGTACTAGTCCAGATGAGAAATGGTACAGAATATTCCGTAGAAACTGTACTCCAGTTACATACTTTGTATTTGCGACTCTGTTGTACATGCATAATTAATATAGTATATGTGCCTGAACAGAGCAAAAGACAGACTAAACTGCTCTCCCAATGTCAGACGGTCATGACCAAATTGTCCACGTTTGGTCGAGTGTTTCTCCCCTGTTCCACAAATGGACAGATTAACCAAATTTTTGGTGCTCCAAACCTGAAAGGGAATAAACATGACACAAAACACCCAAATGCTGAGTCAGTGAGATGGAAAAAAACAGGCAAAAATATTGTCCAAGGTAGAACATAGAGCAAGAAATGACTAGTCAAACAACAAGCAAAAAATTATGAACACAAAGTTTATCCAAGGCAGCCCGAGTGCTATGGAGGATCAATACAAAAATCCTAACATATTTGCAGTTTTATACAGATTTGCAGTAGTGGATCTTTATATTCCCAATATATGATAAAGGGCCATTGCAAATACAGAGGCCGTACATCTTTGTATAAAAACCGTCACAACTGTAAGATTCATACATTTGAATGGATCCTTGAGCAGATACCAACCTGAACCTTTGCAAATTGCAGAAACATCACATGAGCCAGAAACCGGTGACCACTTTTAGCTGTGCTAGTCTGAATGAGAAAATGATGGAAAATATCCAGCCAAATAGATTACTCTGATTAATCAGTGCAACTTTGATAATTACACAGATGTAAGGGAAATGCCAACAGTCTGATCATACAGAAGAAACAGAACTGCACAAGACAGATAGAAGGTCGAATATGTAATCCGTAAAATTACTCATCAGTCACAGGGTTTTTTAGTTTTGGTGTACATATCACAACTCTGCAACACATCCAGAACCATATCTACAGCCTGAACCTATGTAGCTCTAAGCATCCATTTACTTCTACCTTACAAAGTTTCAGCACTCAAAACCTCTAGAAGCGGAAGTCCACTGAACCACGGGTGCTGGATCATAGTTTAAACATAGACCACTATCAAATATCATCTATAGTCGGATTCTAGAATATGGCAATGGGAGGAACTAAAAGACGTGCTTATTATCCTCAGCAACCCATGTTGACATGGCATGGAGCACCCGCCCCTTCCATCCCAGAAGCAACCAAAGGTTATCCACATCGATGAGAAAGTCTCTGTGATAAAAGTTCTTGACCTTGTCACTGGCAACCTTGATAACCTCTGGATTCAATGGTAGCTGCCTCAGCCCAGCCCGGTGGTTTCGCACCTGCCATTGCCTATAAGTCTCAGGACGTTCCACCCGGTCTGCACCCTCACAAGCAATCACATTCAGGGCAGACCTCCCCAACATATCCCGCTCAATCAGCAGCCGTTCATCATTGTCCCTGGGGATGGTCGCATCAATCATGTCAAATAGCGCTGAGTAGAAGAAGAGTGCCTCCCGGAACCGTGTCAAAAAGAACGGGACACCATATGTTCCATTTACCACAGAATGGATGAAAACATCGGGCTGCATCTCCCGGATGTTGTTGAGGACCATATCCCTAGGGCATGGGTTGTCCACCAAAACACACTCGTCCATCAAGTGACCGATAAAGCATTCGCTGTTGACAACAAGCACCTCATCAGGATTAATATTGAGGTCCTTTGCACGGACAGTCTCCCACTTTGCTGCGATGCCGTGGAACTTGAATGGCACGCCAACCTCACGGGCACAGTTGCTGAGGCGGCGGCCTGTTTCCTCAATCTGGTGGGCTGGGCGGAACCCAGGCTGTGGGACGGCAATTGCGGTGAACCTCACCTCTGGAGGTCCACCTTCCCTCTTTGCCAGTAAATGGAGCAAACCAGGATACTGGAATCCATGCTGCACACCATACTCCACAATGTGTAACTTGCTCCTCCCTGCCACAGTATGACAAATTGTCATGTTGGAGAACATGAATTTCACTTTCTTCAAACAAGAGGCTGCCATGAACAGCTTGTATGCCTTGAGATAATCCACGACAGAGGTGCGTTGTGCCATGAGCGACTGGTACACCTGGCTCCCTGTGCCTGCGAGTCGTGCCTCCAGTCCCTCAGCAAAACAATGGGCCAACCTCTGCGTGGCGTCCCCTCTGAGCGAGGAGTGCTGCTTGATCTGCCTCAGCACCTCAATCGCACTTCGGCGATCACCTGTGACTACCGACTGTGCACAGTGGATAAGCATGGTGCGCAGGTCGATAACCTCATTCCCCCGCTGCCTCCCCCGTGCCCCCTTCCCGCTCACCCTCGTGGCACTCTTCTCAGACTCGCTATCCATGGCGATGCGCAGATCCTGCATGCGCTTCAAGAATCCCTCATGGCCGCTGGTCATTATTTCATTGTACAGCTCACTAGCGCCGGCTTCTTCCTGTTCCGGCATCATCACCTTGGTGTTTCTACCTGTCTCTGTCTCCAAGTCCTCTTCGGTGTGGCGGTTCTTGCGGCCCCTTCCATTACTGCTTCTGCTTCCCCCAAACAGTAACATCCCATCCACCACCGCCTCCTCCTTCACTTGGCCAGCAGCAAAGCCAGTAGCTGGCTTGCTGCCAGTAGGCAAAGCCTCGGAATGCCCCAGGGTGTCCTCGAGGTCGATGAGAAGGCTGTTGTTGGCAGGCAGGAACTTCTTGGCCTCTTCCATGCCTTTGAGGAATGCCATGTTCAGCAAGTCCATGTTTTCCCCATTCTGGACACCGAAGAAGGCCGAGGCCAGCGCGGCGTGGTCACCATCGCCAGCGGGCAAGGTGGTGGCCTCTGTCTTCGTCTCCTCCTCTGCGCCATTCAAGACTGCCGACCTCTGGATGCCCGCGCCGCCACCGGCGTCCTGGGCGGCGAGGGAAGCGCGCTGCCGTTGGGCTCCGCCACCGTCGGCGTTCTGAGGGACGAGGGAAGCTATCAGCCGTTGGCCTCCGCCGCCGCCGCCGCCGGTATCCAAGAACGCCGGACTCTGCTGGAACCCGACGGTGCCGCCATCTTGTCCCGGCAAGAAGAGGGCGTTGAGTTCGTCGGCGGTGAAGTCGTCGAGCACCGCCCCCATGTCGGGGTACGGAGGGGAGCCCAGCAGCTGGGAGAGTTCGAATGAGTCGTAGGGCGAGGTGGGATCAGCGGATGCGGGGGCGAAGGAGGAGGAAGGGGAGACAGTAGAGCTGCCGCCGGTCCCTGAGGTGGTGGTGGTGGTGGTGGCGGCGGCGGCGGCGGAGTCGGATGCGGTGGTGTCGGAGAGGATCTGGGAGTACGGCTGCTGGGTGTTGAGGAGCGCGGGGTGGTCGGGGAACTGGTAGAAGAACTGGTCGTCGATGTCCTGCTCCATGAGCATCTGCGAGATGAAGGGGAGGACGAGGTCGTCGGAGGAGGCCGGGTCGTCGGCATCGGGGCGCGGCGTCGGGGGCAGGTCGAGGAAGATGGAGGGGGAGAAGGGCTCGGGGGCGGCGAGGTAGGTTCCCTGCGCCATGAAATCCACCGGCGTGGTGGACATGGCTCGCCGGAGGTAGGTTCTCTCAATCAGCAGTGCTTGTGGCGGGCGTGAAGTGTTTGTGGTGGGTGAGGGGAAAGGGATGCGCTGGGCTGGGTCATGGCTGGCAGGCTGGGGAAGCTGCACACTTGTTGCTGCTGCAGACTTGCAGCTCAGTCAAACGCAGTAATGCCTTGTTTAGTTGGCGAATTTTTTTGAAAAATAATATTGTAGCATTTTCATGGTTATTTGGTAATTAGTGTTCAATCATAATTTAATTAGGCTTAAAAGATTCATATCGTGAATTTCGTCTAAAATGTGTAATTAGTTTTATTTTTTATTTATATTTAATGCTTCATGCATGCGTTAAAGATTCGATGTGACGGAAAATCTTAAAAAATTTTGCAAAAATTTGAGAACTAAACAGGCACTAATACTAGGCTAAAAAACTGTACTCCAACTGACCGAAGAGAGAAGACAACCTAAAATTTTATACTGGCATAAGCAAAAGTGTGTTTGTAGCTGGCTCAGGTTCAAAGAAAAATTGTTTGAGAGGCCCCAGTGCCCCCAGTAGCTAGCTCAAATATAAAATTAAGACCAAGTCTCTAGCTCAAAGTAAAATTATAACTAGCTATAATAATATTCTTTCATTTCCAAATTATAAGTCGCCGTGATATTTTTGATACATAAATTTTGCTACGTATTTAGATATACATTATATCTTTCTATGTAACAAAATTGATGCATCAGAAAAGTCAAAACGACTTATAATTTACTACTGACGGTGTATAACATAAGCAAAAGCAAAAGTTATCATATCAAATTCAAGTCCATGCCCAACGCTCCACCGTATATGTTAGCCTCATCAATCCACGTAGGTTTGGATGCCAGATGTAGGAGAGAACAAGAGAGATAGGAGCGTCGTAGGGTGCCATCTAGTCTCCTGCAGAGACGCCAGTGACTTGGCAGAAAAAGGAGAGACATGGGGAGAGGAGTAGATGAAAGTGACGTATGTGAGAGAATAGTAGACCCCTAAAAATAAAAATAAAAAACTATATACTACCTCCATTGGATAGTGTTGTAGTCTTAAACCTGCCTCAAGCTTACGTACCTACGTGGTCATTAGCTTTTTCTTGAAACCAACTTTTCTTAACTGCGTTGGGCCTGCTCTATGAGTTAAAAGAGAGAAAAGAAAAGGAATTGCACCCTTGTTACTTATACTTGTAGATATAGGTAGCTCATATTCAAAACCAGCCAAATATTAATGGTCTAGCAGCATATACGTATACAACTAAACTATTATATGGACAATCTATTAGTTAGATGTAAATGATATGACAATCATATAAAGCCTAATATTAGCTATATTATTAACTATAGCATGCTCTAAACCATCACTTCATAAAAAGGAGTTCTGACGAGGACCGTCTAAAGAAGTTTCGCTAAGAGTATGATCAGAGTTGGCACAACCAACACTCACCGCCATAAATGTTGATCTCAGCAAAATTTAGTTCTCTATATAGCTCCTAATGATGGAAGCCTCCAATTCTCATGGCCCAAGCCGTGGTTGCGTATTTGCCTCTTAGGCCCACCATTACCCCTATCCCTCCAAAGGTCGGCTTTCAAATAATTGTTCTAAATCCATTAGCCAATGTTTACTCTGTGTCCTTTCCAAACCAAGCTAATGTTTTTTTCCTGATGATCATGGTCACCTTAGCAAGATAATATGACTGTGAATACAACCTATGGCTATCTCCCTCCTTCATGTGGCGTCTAAGCCTACATAGCTTAGCGGGGTAACTGCGAAGATAACATGCGGCTATATCCCTCCTTCATGTAGCGTCCGAGCCTAGCTTAGCGGGACTAACTACATGCTAGTGCATTGGGTTTGGCATGAGGGCACCACCAACACAATAAAAAAACTACACTACACAAGCATGAGAAACACAAGACTCCCAACCTCCTAGCGCAAGCACATAACCCACTGATGTAGCTTGTAATACAATCCCATATATCATTTTCGAGATGACGGGTATGTAGGTGAGTGTGGTCCTAAGATGACGTGTGATGGACGTCTTCCATCCGCTCCAACATGGGACCGAGCGGGGGCTTTAGCTTTTTGTCAGACAGAGCCATCACTACCTCTGCAAGTCGCTCTGATCGTCAGTGAGACCACCGTTCGCATTGGAGCTACTCTGAGAATTACAAGCAAGAGTTAGAGGCACCATCTCCAAAGGTGGATCACCCTATCGTTGAAGGGCGCAGCCAATGTCATCACAAACCATAGGGATAACACATCACATGTAAGAGTGTTCACTAATGAATATCTCATTTTTCTAAGCTTCCTAATGCACCAAAGCAGTGCGCATTAAGAAAAGTCGATAGACATTGTTTCTGCCAAATATTTTTAATTTTTCACGGCAGGAGAAACACAAACCAATATTTACCAAATTTATATGAGCTAAATTCATGACTGGAAAAATGCAAGCACATCACCAGAAAAAATAGATATATCTACATAATCAACAAGAAGGCCAACAGGAGGAGTATACGCTTCAATGGTAGGCAAAGAAGTCCAGAGAAGAAGCAGCATCTCTGGTTGGAATGAAATAGAAGGGAAAAAGCATGTTGATAATCTTTCGGTCTAGCGACATAGTTTACGATCTTAGTTCTTACAGTTAGGTTGTCTTTTTTTTTAAAGTAAGAGAAGCTCCCTTGTACGCAGTAATCAACCTGTGACAAAAAAACGAACATAGCACCTTGTAGTATTCAGTCTTTGCCATAGGCAAAATCTCTCTCTCTCTCTCTCTCTCAATATATATATATATATATATATATATATATATATATATATATATATATATATTCAGTAGCCAGCTACAAAATAAGTTATTCTATAGGTACCTCTATTTACGATAATTTTATATACTAATCTATGATAATGTTAATACATATTTACGATAGTTGGGTTACTATAACACATGTGATATTTACCATAACGTTATAGTAAACCACTTAGTAATGAGTTACTATAATCTCGTAAATTAACATAGTAATTATCGTAACTCAAAGTGGCTACAGAATAAGTTATTTTGTAGCCAGCTACATGGTAGTACACTAGTAGAGAACAGACCTTTCGTCCGAAGCTAAAATGGGCTCTAGTCCCGGTATTTTTTGCGCGCGGGACTAGAGAGACCTTTAGTCCCGGTTGGTGTCTCCAACCGGGACTAAAGGTCCTCGCTTAACAACCATCTGCGCTCGGCTTGCATGGCGGGGACCTTTAGTCCCGGTTGAAGACACCAACCGGGACTAAAGGTGGACCTTTACTCCCGGTTGGAGCCACCAACCGGGACTAAAAGTCCTCCAACCTTTACTCTCGGTTGGTAACACCAACCGGGACTAAAGGGTGACCTTTTAGTCCGGGTTGATGTTACCAACCGGGACTAAATGACCCTTTAGTCCCGGTTGGTAACACCAACCGGGACTAAAGGTCCCCGATGGGTTAGTTCAAAAGGAAAGCATCCCATCTATTGTTAGATGTGTTGTGTAGGTGGGGTGGTAAGCTACACGCGAGGCAGTGCATGAGGTCTTGGGTTCAAATCTCACGGGACGCAGCGGTGGGAGGCATTATTTTTTTTAAAGCTGGGAGGATCTTTAGTCCCGGTTGTGGCAAACCGGGACTAAAGAACAACATCTTTAGTCCCGGATTGCTAGTCCCGGTTGGGAAACCGGGAGTAGAACTAGTTCCCAACCGGGACTAGATCTCATTTCTCCACTAGTGGTAGGTAAGGCTATTCTGCAGCTGGTCGTAGAATAACTTATTCTATAGCCACCTTGATTTACGATAATGTTTGTACCATTTACGATAACATGAATATACATTTACGATATTCGTGTTACTATAACTCACGGTGATATTTACCATATTATAGTAAATCACTTAGCAAGGAGTTACTGTAGTCTTGTAAATTAGTATAGTAACTATCGTAACTCAAAGTGACCACAGAATAAGTTATTCTATGGCCAGCTGCAGAACAAATATATATATATATATATATATATATATATATATATATATATATATATATATATATATATATATATATATATATATATATATATATAATCAAGCATGGATTAGTAGCCGAAGCATTAAAACTTCACATTTGAGACTAGGGAATTGTACAGAGACAGAAATGACAATGTTTTTAGATCTCATTTAGCATCGACTGGTGTTTGCTGATGATCTTTGGCTTTCTCCGTACATTGTAGCTACAGCTATAGTAAAAAGTCATTTCACATCTCTCTTTTTAAATGAATTAGAACCGTCAACGCCACTGGTGTTTGCCTCATCGGCTATGACTCCTTTGTGCATTATTATATATAGCAAAAAAAACTCGTGCAAGATAAAGCCGTGCTAAACAAGACGTTAGTTTAGCATTTAGCATTCTCTAAAAACTAGAGGAGATCATCCATTCAACCCTGCTCACCTCTTCCACGACGATCCAAGTGGATGAAACCATGTGTCCATGTCGCCAACTTATTTTACACACATGAAACCTACCAGAAGATTATTAGAGTCACCAAATACCACTCGATCTGAGCAAATACTACCGGCTGGATACAGGATATACTACCTTAACCTATACTTACATCCTTCAGTTCTCTTAGCCTGTATACATTTGTGTACAATACCGTACTTCTTTTCCTGCCTTTTACTTATTTGCATATAATATACAAATCGTCACCAAGTCCACAACCAAACCACTAACCACGACGGCCTAATCAACCAGTAAACTACTTTTAGCTAGCTAGCTAAGCTAGCACAGGCGCCATGCATGCTGAACACCCTACCACGTACTCCGTATTTAGCTAGCTTCTCCACTGCACACGCACGCACGCACACGTGCACACATCCGTACGTGCGCGCGTGTCTCACGTGCTGTGCCGCGACTCTGACTCGGACTCCGCCGACCGAGACGACGACGGGAACGGCACGACGGCCTCCTCCACGTCCCCCTCCACCGCCGGCCTTTCACGCGTGGGGTCGCTCCGCGGGTTGTACCGTTGCACGACCAGCACGGACGCCGTCGTCGAGAACTCCGGCGTCGCCAGGTAGCTCCCCACGGGGCCCAGCTCCGGGCAGTCGCTCTTCTCCACCAGCGTCGGCGCCGGCGCCGACCGCCCCGCCACGACCAGGTTCTTGCCCCTCCCGAGCGTCTTGATGGCGGGTGTCAACTCCTCCCGCTCTGCCGCCGCCGTTACCTCCTCGTACCTGACGGACCCGTCCCCGGACTTGAGCGCCCGGGTGCCGTATCTCTGCAAGGCTTCCTCGTCCTTGGCGAGCTCGAGCTCGAGGTCGCCGCCGTCGGCGTTGGGTTTCGCCGCCGCGGCCGTGATGAAGCGGGCGACGGTGAGCTCGATGCCGGGGTGCTCGCCCATGCGGGCGGCGTACGCGAGCGCCTCCCGGTCGTCGGGCCCGCCGAAGAAGAGGACCAGCACGGCGTAGGAGACGTCCGGCGCGGAGACCTGCGCCGCGCCGCCGAGGACGCGGTCCACGAGGATGGCGACCGAGCAGGGCGCGCTCTGGAGCACGCGGACGTTGGCGTGGTGGTAGGCGCGGTCCACGGGCTCCATGGTGCCGTCGTGGCACAGCATCTTGTGGAACGGCAGCACCACGAGCGCGGCGCGCTTGTTGACCGCCGACGCCACGATGTCCTCGTGGATGGTGCTGAGGTCGGAGATGGCCGTCATCGGCTTCACCGCCACTGTACTCAGGCGCCGGAACGCCTCGAACGCCACCACAACCTCCCCGCCGCCGTCGCGCCGGCGCCGGCCCGAGAACGGCAGCCCGTTGCGGCGCGCGCGCTGCACCATGGAGATGGCCGACGACCGCTCCGAGAGCTCCACGAGGTGCATGGCGTACATGGTGAGCTTGCTCCGCCGCGTGCCGCGCGAGGCCTCCACCAGGTTGATCAGCGTCGGGATGCCGCGGCTGGCGTGGAAGCATGCCAGCACCCGCAGCTCGCTGTCGGCCTCGCCGCCGCCGCCGCCGCGCTCCACGGTCCGGTGCTTGTACGACGACGCGCCGCGCCGCGCCGGCTTGTACACCGCGGTGACGGCCGGCGTGGTCATGAAGGTGGTGGTGAGCGCCATGAGCACCAGGATGGCGAACGCCTCGTCGTTGAGTACCTTGCGGTCGCGGCCGATGTTGAGAACGATGAGCTCCACGAGCCCCTTGGTGTTCATGAGCAGCCCCAGCGCGAGCGCCTCGCGCGGCGGCACGCGCATGAGCAGCGACGCCAGCACCGTGCCGCCGATCTTGCCGGCGCACGCCGTCGTGATGACGAGCACGAGGAAGCCCCAGGACTTAGCACCCGAGATGGTGGCCACGTTGGTCTTGAGCCCGCTGGACACGAAGTACAGGGGCAGGAACAGCGACGACACGAGGTCCTCCATCTTCTCGGTGAGCGCGCCGGCGTAGGCGCCTTCCTTGGGGATCAGGACGCCGATGACGAACGCGCCGAACAGAGCGTGTATGCCGATGGCGTCCGTGACGAAGCCGGCGGCCAGCACGATGCCCAGAGTCGCGCAGACGAACGACTCCTTGACGGGCTCGCCGGCCGGGGACAGGCGCGCCATGTAGACGAGCACCGGCCGCACGAGGAAGGTGGCCGCCGCGACGAAGCCGACGCCGCAGAGGAGGACGTAGACCGAAACGAACGGCGAGCCGGAGCCCGAGAGCGCGATGGCTAGGGCGAGCAGTATCCACGCGGTGACGTCGTTGACAGCCGCGGCGGACATGGCCATGCGGCCCAGGTCGGTCGTTAGGAGCTTGAGTTCGGCGAGGATGCGCGCGAGCACCGGGAACGCGGTGATGGAGAGCGCGACGCCCATGAAGACGATGAGCGGGCCGCGCGGCGCGTTGGGCGTGATGGCGGCGCGCAGCACCAGCGAGGAGCCGACGCCGAGCGCGAAGGGGAGGGAGATGCCGGCCACGGCGATGGCGAGCGCGCGGCTGCCCGTGCGGCGAAGCGAGGCCGGGTCCAGCTCCAGGCCGACGAGGAAGAGGAACAGGAGCAGGCCGATGTTGGCCAGCGTGTCGAGCACGGTGAGGCTCTCCGTCGGGAAGACGTGGTTGAGGAAGGCCTTGTTCCGGCCAAGCGCCGACGGGCCGAGGAGGATGCCGCCCTGCATGCATTGCCATCAATCGACTGCAGCTTGAAGCGAGCACACTGCAATTTCATCCAGCACTTGATGGAGCAGTACCAGTGTTTAGCATTAGTGGCAATAAACTACGAACGACTTCATTTAGCCATTTTTTTTGGGGAAAAAGAAGAAGCAAGCTTTGTCTTTGCACAGGCATGATCGAATTTTGGTCATATTTTTTCGTTTATAATTTTTAAATAGCAGAATGACGTCGATCCAGTTCTCATGCATCTTCGGTTGGATCAAATATGTGCATGTTTATTTAATCTAGTGGGGTTGTAATAAACTATATTTTTCCTACTTAAAAGGCAGAGCTCCTACCATTTCATACAATATTTAATCTAGTGGGGATCACCATTTGGCTTGCTGCGTTCTTGCTGCTGGTCGCTTGGCTTGCTTGCTTGGGTGCGTGGTGTAGGAGCAGAGGAAAGCATGGGTATTTATAGGGCAGAGGGTTTCACTGGCTGGGTCTAAGTGCCGCTGGTGGTTGTGTTCTTGATGACTAGTTTAAGCTTTGGCTGAGGACTCCGTGGTGGATCCGTGGATGGATTGGATGCGGCGAATGGATTGCCGGTAGGGACGAAGCTAAAGCAAATCAATTAGAGGAAGGGTGTCCTTGCCTGGTCGGTGCATCGATTAAGTGTACGCACAGTGAAAAATCGACTCTGGTGCATCGTTATCTTTATTTATTTATTTTTATTTACTCTTTTTTTTTGCATTTTGGCGTGGGTGAGTAGTGGGGATCGGAGAGAGCACGAGCATCCGTGAACCGTGCAAGGGCAACAGGGCGGCATCTATGTTTACTGTTTAGTATGAATGGGACGAAGAGAGCAGACCCCAAATGGGGGCGGGGCGCCTCTCTGGGATCTCACGCATTGCGTGTGATCATCTGACCCAAATGCCTGAGCACGTACGTGGGACGACTCCCCACTCCAATGGCGACGCGGCCGGACCGAACGGCTAGCCGCTGTGTGGACTCCATGCCATGAGAGCGCTCTGGATCGGTTTGTTCCGACGTCGCCAGGAGCTAAATGCACTCGTACCTCGGCCAGTCGCCGGCCACTCACCAGTCGCCATGGAGCCCTGTGCTGCCCACGCAGAAAACTGGTGATGAGCAGCCCATGCATGGGGACACCGGATGCTGTGGCGCCGGGGCACAGACACGGGCCACGGGGAGCTGCCGGAGGAAGAGGAGGCGGGGCGCCAGGCCGTCGTCATCCTACGATCCGTCCGTCTACCGGTAGCTGAGATGAGATCGAAATCGGACAGCTCAGGGTGACTGCTTCCAGGACAGAGCTGAGGCCGGGCGCGCCGCGGCGAGCTCGATCGCGCTGCGGCGCGCCCGTCCAGTCTCTGTTGCCCGGGCGCTTTTCGGCGGGCGGAGGTGCAGGGCGCGCTACAACGACCGCGGTTGACTGCACCGCATGATTCGGTTTAGATAAGGTAGCGATGCAAGTACCGGCGGTGAGTGGCTTTTGGCCGTCACACGAGCAAGGCAAAGGCAAGGCAGGCAAGCGGCAAGCCAAGAGACAGTTGACCTCCGATCCATATCCATGGTGGGAATTAATCGCTGCCTTTTTTCAGGAATGAGGACAAGAGTGCCTCGTCGCTTTCTTCCGTGCGGACTACCGGTCGTCACCGTCGTCGTCATCGTCTTCTTCTTCTTTCGAAAACGACGATCACCATGTAGTCACAATGCATGCACGCAGCGTGGGCCTAACTCATATACATAGTCTTAGGGCAGAATAGAATTGCCTTTTTGACTCTGTACTCTTTGATTCCACTATGTATTTCGGGAGTCCGCTAACCTAGATGACATCCTCTGCTAAGTTTAGGAGGTTAGTGTAACGGCGTTGACGCTAGCATGAACCATCACATCGCAAACGACGGGTCTAGCATAGACCCGATTGGACCTGTGATGTAACGTGGGTCTAGTTCATGCACATGGATTTATATTTTAAAAGTTTAGGGACCTAAATGATACGTCTTGTCAAGTTTAGAGACCCCTGGTGCATTTCACGGACATAAATGTTCCATCACAATGGTGCTAACATATGCGGCTATAAGGGGGTGTTTGGTTCTTTAGTCGCTCATAAAATTCATATCACATCGAATGTTTAGATACTAATAAGGAGCATTAAATATAGATTAATTACAAAACCAATTACATAGATGGGAGGCTAATTAGCGAGACGAATTTTTTAAGCCTAATTAACCCCTCATTAGCACATGTTTACTGTAGCGTCACGTTGTCAAATCATTGACTAATTAGGCTTAAAAGATTCGTCTCGTAAATTAGTCGCAAGTTGTGCAATTAGTTTCATAATTAGTCTATATTTAATACTTCATACATGTGTTCAAATATTCGATGTGACAGGAATTTTAGGAGATCACGGGGAAACCCTAAATAACGATACTTGGAGCTGAAAGGCGCGGCGCAGCTTTTATTTGTGTTTTTTGTGAGCTCGTACGGTACGGTTGTGAGCTTTGTTTTTGTTCCAACACACACACACACAAGTGTTTAGCTGCGGCTGTGGCCTCTGGGGTGATGGTGAGGACGAGGACAGGACACCACCATGTCCGCAAGCTGCCAAGGAGGGGAAAAGGGCAAAAAGGCCGTCGGAAACGCATCGAAGAATCACCCACTCGCGCGCGCAAAGCAAAGGCGATCGAACGTACAGGACCCTAGACGCTCTCGCATCGTGCACGCACGAACCAACGCACGGCATCCGGACGGACCGGTCGATCGGCCGGACGTCCATCCACAGGGCAGCAACAGCAACAGCAACAGCGCCTGCGAGGGCGACTGCGCAGGTGCGCCACCGTACGACGTACGTCCCCGGTGCACACGCGCCTGCCGCTACCTATTGATCGGGACGGGAGGTGGACAGACTGGTGGTGCCCGGTGGTGGAGTGGATCGGAGGCCGCGCGCCGAAACGACGCGACGGTACGGTTCTTCTCGCTGGCGCCTGGCGCCTGGCGCTGGTTGGGTGCGTGCCGTGGTGGTGGGCGGGCGGGGCGGCCGCGGCCAGTGCCTGGCCGAGCCCGCGCGCAATCATATCGGGCTACGCCGGCTACGGCCTACACGGGGACGGCTGCAGGCTGCGGGCTGCGGGCCGCGGCCGAGTGGAGGGCGGAGTCGTTTCGTCGCCTGGTTGGAGGACACGCAGTGGCAGTGGTGCGGATGCGTCGCGTCGCACGACGTCGAGACTCGAGACGTCACGGCTCAGGAGTTCAGTCGGATGGAAACAGGGGGGAGAAATGGATGGAAAAGAGGAGCGCCGGGAATGGGGTCAGCAAGAGCGAGCCGCACTACAATGCTATGTTCGCTTGGCTGATAAGCCATGCTCGAAAGTACTATTGACTGATTTGTTGTGAGAGAAAAATAATGTTCATTGACCGAAAAAGTACAGCTTATAAGATAAACGAACCGGTCTGCCAACAGTGTGCAAAGCGCGTGCAACAGTTCGGAGCAGCTGCGTAGACGCGTCATCTAGAAGTAGAAGGGGACATGCACGGCAGCATCCACCGGCCGGCGGCTCAACGGCAGCCATACCCAAAACCAAGTTCCTGCTTGGAGCAGCTATTTAAAAAAAAACTTCTTTTATGCCACGCAAGAGCATTGCCAGTAATCTGCTCCATCTGTTCCAAATTATAAATCATTTTGATATTTTGGGTTCATCTATTTTGCTATGTATCTAGACATATTATTATATCTATAAAATGGATGTACCAAAAAAGTTAAAACGACTTATAATTTAGAACTAAGGGAGTATATCTATACTTCTAATAATAAAGAGGCAAAATTTTAGCCCAATTTTTTGTCCATCCACTTTTTGTCCATCTCTTTCTAACAACCGGACAATGGAGAGTTTCTTCCATCCGGACTTTATATATATATATATATATATATATATATATATATATATATATAATAACCGTGGTCATACGAGTTAGAATAGTTATTGTCGAGCACGATACGGAGTTTAATTCCAAAATATATTAGATCTGTACTCATATGTGATATAACAACTTACGTCTAGCGATGATACGGACTCCGATTTTATTATATATTGAGTCCGTCCTACTTTTTTTAGTTCTGGTTAGAATCGCTTTCCGTTTTATGTCCCTTTTTTGTTTTTCAGTTTCGGTGAGAGTCCATCGGCCATGAACTTTTTTTCTATATTGTGTTTTGATGTCTTTTTTTTAGTTTTAGTTTTTCCAAGCTTCCGTCTTTTTCGGTTCCCTTTAGAGTCCTTTCCTGTTTTGATGTCATTTTTATTTTGGTTTTTTCAATTTCGGTTAGAGTCTATCGACCATGAACTTTGTTTCGTTTAGAGTCCTTTTCGTGTTTTGATGTATTTTTTATTTCTGTTTTTTTCTAGTTCTGGTTAGAGTCCATTGGCCATAAGCTTTTTTTTTCTATATACCTTACAAAATTTCTGCCAATTTTTTGGTCGCCTCATTTTGGTCTGATCCCTTTTAAATTCTAAGCGTTTTTGGCGGAGACTACTAATCCTACTCGTTATTAGTGGAGACTTAAATCTCCTCCTAAGCCTTGCGTTCCTTGCTGAGATCGACGAGGCCAAGCTTGTACGTACATATATACCGTGGTTCGGGACATAGCCACAAACTAACACTAGTGTCTGATACGCTCGTGGTAAACCAACAAAACAAGTTTGTGGAAATACTCGGTTCACGTGCGTATGGGAGTAGAAAAATGAAGGGACGAAATGCAGACAAAAATAGTCAAGGCCACGTACAATAATGACCATAAAATAAGATCAAAGTAATAACGGTATAAAATATATAATTGTCGTGTTCGTTTGCTAACAGAAGTCAACCCTTGCATTATTTGGAAGTTGGTCAGTGCTTTGCTCCCTTTTCCTGTTGACAAAATGTTACCGCTGCACATCCTCTGAGGTTCATATGATCCCACGTGGCAGTGGCATGCATGTGTGGTGGGCGAGTGCAAGCTTTTACACGTGTGCGGTGAAGAGCTTCAGTCGCATCAAGTTTTGCTGGAGATATCAGGAATCATCTTGTGCGAGTGTATTTGATCTTTTTCTTTTTTCTTTTTTAAAAAAGAAGGCATTTGAAGTTGTTGTAGGGTGTTTATATATGTGAGCACACGTAGGCTCCGTTCGTTTGTCTGAAAAAAAGCAAAAACACTGTACTGGCTGGTTGTGTGAGAGAAATACTGTAGCGGCTGATTGATGAATAGTATCCTATGAGGAAGAACTAGCCGGCTGGTCTAAAAACCAGACCAGCGAACTGGCCGATAGCGGTTAGGATTATTTCAGCTTCATAATTCATATTTTAATAGCGGTGCAAACTTAAAGCTTGAGTCCACGTGTAAACCGAACTTTTGCGGAATCTTTCTGGGTAGCTTGATTCTACGACTGCGAAGAAGTTTACAAATATGATATAGGATCCTCGTTCGTCAATGGCATGCAACATATGCTGGATTTATTAGTTATTAATTTGTCAAACACTGACGATAGGCATTGAGGACATGCATGATGCTAAGAGGTAAAAGGAGACTCTTTATGGTTCCAAAAGTAGGTAAAGGTAAAAGGACAAGATGACTAAACTCGGAGTTATCGTGGGGCCCAAAGATTGACTATTTTGTTCTAGAAATAATATATATAATAATTTTTTTAAATTTGGAGACAAATTAAGCTAGCTTGACTTCTCAGTCACTGTACAGCTTAAGTCCTACGGTTGGAATAAGCTAGCAAGGCTATCGGCTGACGACGATCGCAGTATTATACTAAATCCGTTTTAAATTATGATTCGTTTAACTTTTTTACCTTGAATTTGACCACTCGTCTTATTCAAAAATTTATGTCAAATATCACTTTTTTTTTGTTGTGCCTTGCTTTATCAACAAAAGTTCTTAAAGAATAACTTAATTTTAACCATGTTTGCATAAATTTTTTAAATAAGATGAGTGGTCAAACTTTAAGTCAAAAAAGTCAAACGAATTATAATTTGAAATAGAGGGAGTACAACTATAATGTAATGCGAGTATACCATTATAGTACTCTTCGTCTGTTTCTGTTCCTTTATCAATTCTATAAAATATACTACTGTATATATCGACGCTGCTGACTGTTGATGCTGCAGTAGTATAGAAAAAAAGAGAGCGAGATTTACTGTTTTTTCTTCTTCTGGTTTTCACGCAAACACTTTTTTTTTTAGGATACGTTGGTTGACGTCAAGGAAGAAGGTAATGGCGAACACCCATGATTGTGTATTTGTGTTGGAGAACATGTCCGTTGACGCATGTTTCATTAAGATATTAAATTTTATTTTGTTACATGTTCTTGAAATTATAAAACTATATATACCCATGACGATTATTATATTCAGACCTGTTATTATTTTTCTGGGCGGTAAGATTCAGACTTGTTGGTTTGCCGTACCTTGATGACCCAATTAACGAAAGCTTCAGGAATAATGTTATTGCAAAAGCAAAACGAGCAAGCCGATATAAAAAATTCGTCGAAGAAATAACATGTATACACAGCATGCTTTGAGGTTGATGAAGAAGAAGAACAGCGGGTGGATGGAACTTACGATGATCTCTGCGATGACGCGGGGCTGGCGGAGCGGGCGGAGCGCCAGGGCGAGGCCTCGGGTGAGGACGAGCACGAGGCAGACCTGCAGGATGATGAGCGGCAGCGAGAAGTGCAGCGGGTTGTCCCCCTGCCACAACCCCTCCGACGTCGCCTTCATCGGCGCGCACAGCGCCGCCGACGCCGACGCCTCATCCCCGCCGCCGGCCATCGTCCTCCCTGCTGTCGTACCCTGCCAATGGCGCGCGCGCGCGCGTGACGTGTCGTTGTTTATTAGTCAGTCGTCCAGATGGTGGATACGACGAGGAAAACGCAGTGACACTGACACCACTTGCTAGCTGGCTAGCAGGCAGCCCAAGCGAACGCGGCGGCAACAAGGCCGGCCGGCCGGCCGGCCGGACATGGTTCTCCTTGAGAGCGAAGGGAGGAAGAGGAACTATAGCGAAACAAGCGCGTGCGCAGGGGAGGGGGGCAGAGCAAAAATAACCAATAAGCAGCGCGCAGCTCGCGCACGTGTGAGCGCGCCATCGATGGATGCATGGACTGTATCTCTCACCTGACGGATCGGAGCGAGAGATACTCGAGGACTGAGGACAAATATAGCAGCCCCGCTGCGCAGGCGATGGGTGGAGCGAGCGAGGCCGACTGGGTGAGAGCTCGATCGCCGCTCGCGCTGGGAGACGACGAGCGAAGACGTGTATCTGTGGCCGAGCGAGTGTGATAAATGGGCTCTTGTATCAGCTCGCCGATCAGTAGCTTCTTATTTATAGAGGAGCAAACCGTGGCCCTCTTTTTTTTTTTTCTTGATCGGGGTTTAGCCCAAACCGTGGCCCTCTTTGTTTTCGCTTAGAGCATCTTCGAGAGTTCCCTAGATATTAATTTAAAAAGTCTATATTTCTCAACTTCTAAAAGGATATTGGGAGGAAAAAAAGGGAGAATCTTTAATAATTCCTAATATGTTTATCCTAAAAGTTTTTTCATGCAGCACTTTTTCTTTTCCACAGGCTCGTTGCAGATTAACGATGTTTTGCATCAGGAACCCAGAATTTGTTTCTGTACCCATTTAAGCCCTCCCACAAGATCTTTCTCTCTTACGCCTTTCTCGTCTGAAACCCCGTCTTTCCTCCTTTTCCTTTCCCACTCCCTTCTTCTTCTCAGGCTCGCAAAAGAGCAGACGCGTATGATAGCCAGCGCCTGATCCCGGCTGGGAGGGCCACGCCGGCGGCCAGGGTGGCGCGGAGGCATGGCGAGGGCCGCGCACCTCCAAGGCTGGTACTCTTGAAGCTGCGTGGGACATGGGTGTTGGGCGCGTCGGCGATCCCGTCGTGGCAGACGTCGGGGTTCGTGGACATCCCGTCGGGGCCGAAGTAGGGGACATGGTGCTGGTCGTGCCCGAGGGCGCCTACACCGTGCGGCTCGGGAACGAGACGTCCCGCATCCATCCGGCAGTGGCTCCGGTTCGCCGCCCGCATCCATCCTGTCTGGGACCACCTGCGAGTTCCTGGTCTATAAGCTAGGATGTAAGGGCCCGCGAACCACCAAGGAGCTCCTCGACATCGCCACCAGCCACGTCTCGGGCGAGGAAGCGGTCGGAGCAATTTTTGACCGCCTCAAGGGCAAGGCGAAGCGGGACAAGGACGCTGGCGAAGGCGCCTCCAACCGTCCTAACAAGAAGAATAAGCAGCGGCGCGAGGGCTCGCTCATGGCCGCCGCCAACCGCAAGGGGGGTCGGAAGCCCGCCGAGGGCACCCCGGACCACTTCGAGAAGCTGCTCGAAGGACCATGTCCAAACTATGTTTTCCCCATCAAGTATCTATACAAGGACTGTGGTCTCATGAAGCGGTTCTTGTCCGAAGGCTCCAACAAGGGGGAGCATAGGAAGGACCCCAAGCCGTCCACAGACGACGCCGAGGGGAAGGACGGCAGCTTCTCGATGCCGGATGGCTGCCTCATGATCTTTGGAGGGTCGGCGGCCTACGACTCCAAGCGTCGCCAGAAGCTCACGTGCCGCGAGGTCTACACGGCTGAGCTGGCCGCGCCTACCTTCCTCCGATGGTCGGAGTCCGCCATAACTTTTGATCGGACCGACCACCTGGAGAGCATCCCACAACCGGGGAGATCTCCGCTCGGTGTTGACCTGATCGTCGGCATGAAGCGGCTCACCAAGGTACTGATGGATAGAGGCAGCGGCCTCAACATCATGTAGGCCGAAATGCTCGACGCCATGGGCATCGATCGATCGAGCATCCGACCGACCTGAGCACCTTTCCACGGCATCGTGCCTGGAAAGCAGGCCATGCCACTTGGATAAATCGATCTGCACGTCACCTTTGGGGATCCAACCAATTACAGGACGAAGACCCTTACCTTCGAGGTGGTCGGGTTCCACGGAACCTACCACGCCATCCTAGGACGTCCATACTACACGAAGTTCATGGGCCGTCCCCAACTACGCCTATCTAAGTGTGAGGTCGAGTGCTGCGAACATGCCGTGGCAATCATCGCCTCCAAGGAGCTTGCGGCCATCAGGAAGGAGGTCGCCGAAGAAGCGCCCGACCCCAAGCGGTTGGCTGGGTCTTTTGAGCCTATAGAGGGCGCCAAGGAGGTCCTCATATACCCCAGCGGCTCCAAGGGCAAAGTGGTACGCTTTGGCACCATGCTTTCCTCCGAATAGGAAAGCACGCTCATCGACTTCCTCCACGCCAATACAGACATCTTTGCGTGGAAACCCTCGGACATGCCAGGCATTCCGAGAGAAGTCGCCGAGCATGCCTTGAAGATCAGGCTAGGCTCCACGCCGATGAAGCAGCGCCTGCGTCGCTTCGACGAGGAGAAGCGCAGGGCCATCGGCGAAGAGATTGCAAAGCTTTTGGCGGCTGGGTTCATCAAGGAAGTATACCACCCCGAGTGGTTAGCCAATCCCGTTCTGGTAGGAAAAAAGAGTGGGAAATGGAGAATATGTGTCGACTACATGGGTCTCAACAAGCGTGTCTAAAGGATCTGTTTTCTTTACCACGCATAGACCAAGTAGTAGACTCAACCTCAGGGTGCGAAACCCTTTGCTTCCTTGATGTATACTCCGGGTACCATCAAATCATGATGAAAGAGTCCGACCAGCTCGCGACATCTTTCATCACCCCATTCGGATCGTTCTGCTACGTCACGATGCTGTTCGGTCTGAAAAACGTGGGGGCTACGTACCAGCGTTGTATGCTCAAATATTTTGGGGACCTCATCGGGTGAACCATTGAGGACTACGTGGATGACATCGTAGTCAAATCCAAATGGGCTGACCTGGTCATAGCTGACCTAGAGCAGACCTTCGCGAAACTCTGAGCAAACAACATTAAGCTCAACCCCAAGAAATGCGTTTTCGGTGTCCCAAGGGGTATGCTGCTGGGTTTTATCGTCTCTGAGCAAACAGCATCAAAGCCAACCCAGAGAAGATCTCAGTCATCACAAGGATGGGCTCGATTCAGAACATAAAGGGGGTACAACGAGTTACATGGTGCCTCACCGCGCTCAGCCGCTTTATCTCGCGCCGCGGCGAACGAAGTCTCCTGCTCTATCGGCTCCTAAAGAAGGCGCTCCGTTTCGAATGGACACCCGAGGCCCAGGAGACACTTGACATGGTCAAGCAGCTTCTGACGAATGTCCCGATCCTGGTCCCTCCAACCGATGGGGAACCGCTTCTGCTCTACATCGCGGCCACCACGCAAGTGGTCAGCGTCGCCCTGGTTGTAGAGCGAGAAGAAGAGGGACATGCCCTCAAAGTGCAGCGTCCCGTATACTACATTAGTGAGGTCTTGTCCAATTCTAAGACCCGCTACCCCCAAATCTAGAAGCTCCTATACTCTATCCTCATCGCCAAAAGGAAGTTGCGTCACTACTTCGAGTCACATCCAGTGACGGTCATGACATCCTTCCCTCTTGGCGAGGTCGTCCAAAACAGAGATGCCACGGGAAGAATCGCCAAGTGGGCACTCGAGCTGATGGGGTAGGGCATTTCATATGCCCCTCAGACAACCATCAAGTCCCAAGTGCTGGCTGATTTCATTATAGAGTGGACCGAGGTCCAAATGTCGCTAGCAGTCATCGACCAGGAGTATTGGACGATGTACTTCGATGGATCGCTGATGAAGAGAGGCGCCACACGGGGCTAGTCTTCGTTTCGCCCCTCGGGGTACGCATGAGGTACATGGTTCGCATCCATTTCCCCTCCTCCAATAATGTGTCTGAATATGAGGCGCTCATCGATGACCTATGCATCGCCAGCGAGTTGGGTATCCGACGGCTTGACGTCCGGGGCGACTCCCAGCTGGTCATTGACCAAGTGATGAAGGAATCAAGCTGCCATAACGCCAAGATGGCTGCGTATTGCTGAGAAGTCCGCTAGCTAGAGGACAAGTTCGATGGTCTCGAGCTCAATCACATCCTGAGGCGTCTCAACAAGGCGGCCAACGCGCTGGCGAAAGCGGCGTCTGGCCGAGAGCCGGTGCTATAGGTGTCTTCGCCAGCGATTAGTACAAACCCTTAGTCCGCTATGAGGAGCCAGAACAAGCTGGTGATGGGCCGCCTGCCCTAGTCTCAGGGGCTAACCAGCCATCGGCTCCATCCGACCCCGAAGTCATGGAGCTTGACGAGGATCCAGCGATAGAGCCCGACCCTCTGGCCGACTGGAGGGCACCTTACCTCGACTACCTCCTCCACGAGGCGCTGCCGACGGACAAAATGGAGGCTCGACGGCTCACACGTCATGCCAAGTCCTTTGTCGTTATTGATGGCGAGCTCTATAGGCGAAGCCACATCGAGGTCCTGCAGCGCTGCATCCCCATTGAACAAGGGAAGCAGTTGCTGAGCGATATCCATGGTGGGGTCTGCAGTCACCATGCCGCGCCTAAAACCCTGGTCAGAAATGCATTCTGACAAGGCTTCTTCTGGCCGACCACGGTAGTCGACGCTGAACATATTGTGCGTACCTACGAAGGGTGTCAATACTACGCTCGATAGACCCACCTACCGGCCCAAGCACTCCATATGATCCCCATCATGTGGTCGTTCGTGGTCTAGGGGCTCGATCTTGTCGGACCTCTCAAGAGGGTGCCCAGGGGCTATACGCACTTGCTTGTCACCGTAGACATGTTTACAAAGTGGGTAGAGGCTCGACTGATCTCTGCGATCAAGTCCGAGCAAGCCGTGCTGTTCTTCCTT